TTAATGTGAACCCCGGCGCATAAATTAGATTCTCAACGAAGTTGGAAAAAGGTTTAGATCTTGATCTAAGGTTGTCAGTAGGATATTTTGTGCTATTATCAGATCTTTAGCGGTACAATTTCAGTAGCACTAGATAATTGATACTAAAACAAAAGTTATCAGTAACCAATGAAGCCCAACAAGTAGCGCTCTAGGAGAGATGATAACCATAAGAATTGAAAAAAAAAATAAAATGATAAATGAATTTGCTAACATTAGCAAAGAAGGTCAGTAAACTCAACTGACATTAGAAGGTTAGTCAATATGCTTAATAGTAGTTCTGCCTCTTAGAAAAATTAATTTTAACTATAATGTAACCGAAGCCAACATATTTAATCTGAGCAAGCTAAATATCTCTATTGCATAATTGTTTTGCGGTGCATGTAGGAAGTGAAACCAATTCCTTTATAATAATTGGACTAACATATTTGTCTCTACTAAAATACCCTTTACTTACTATGAGCTATTATAAGAAGCAGAGCAGTTAGAGCAATGTGAGGACATAAGGAAATTGAGTAACACAATGAATTTAGAGAAAATCTTTTTAACAATATATTTTAATTCATTATTATGTTAAGATTCATTTGGCTAAGTTTAATAAATAGAAATTTGCTATATAGACTCAATTTTTATACAATCCAAAGTTATTTATTCTGTAGCATCCTATTATTAATTAAAAAGAAAATGGGAAATTTCTAATATGCAGTGAATCCAACTAAAGTTATGCTATATGAAAGATAATTAAAGATAAAAATATAGATAACCTAAGAAAGTAGATAAATTCAAACTTTTTGTAAAAAGTTTCAAGCGAAAGAAATTGATATTGCTCTATATATACTGGATTTTTTTAGTTTTATTCCATCATGAAGTTTAAAATATCTTTACAAGAAAGAAGTGATTCAAAAGAAATGTTTAAAATACATACGGATTTTTGAAAAAGCTAATAGTTTCTTGTTTTATAGTTATTTTTTTCAAACTGATTTCGATTTTTCTAATATTACATCTAATTTTAAATCTTTTAGTTGATATTGGATATCTTAATCATTAGCAATAAAAAAGGAATATATAATCATAATTAAATGTCTCCTTATGAAGATCTCTATAATAGGAATTTTATAGTTCTTTATATATTTCACTTAACACATAATCTAATTTTCAATAAATCCATAAGTTCTGGGTAATCTTAATTGTGAATTCATCTATAATGTTAAATATTTTAAGAATTCAGTTATTTTTTAATTATGGGAATTATAACTGCCTCTATTTTATCATCATCAAATTGCATAAAAAAAGTTTCTTATAATTTAGCAATATAATTTTCTATTCCAAACAAAGGTATTATGGTCTAATTTTTTAATTTTCAAGAATAAATGGATTCACCTATTGAGTCCATTTAATATACATAATGCTCAATACTCGCTTCTATTAAGATCACATCATTTTCTATATATAACATTTTACTATTTACCTTTTTTTATAATGAGAGTAAGTATAAGCACTATTATTTATCAAATACGATCTATTCCGAGTTAATTTAATATCTCACACTCTACTCTTCCATTTGTGTAATTATTTTTTATATAATATCTCTAAATCCTAATCCAACCTAAAAAGTAAGTGCCACTGAACTTTGGAGTTACTTATTCTCAAAGACAATACTAAGCATGACTACTTTACACCCTATTGCAATATTTATTTATCATGATGCAATAATCTTTTAATAATTATGATAGGTTCTGATATTAAATTTTACATTGATTCTGAATTATTAACCTTAGTTTAATTAAAAATTTGATATTAAATTTAATCCATCCTATTAATATGCTATTCAAATAAAGTAAAAATCTAATCAAATAAGTCTCTTTAGCTCATATTTTTAGCCTAATCAATAAATTTTTATATATTCTTTATGAGCTCAAATCTAATTTTGATAATCTTCATCCTTTGTCTATATACATTTCAAATATTATGAGAGAAATTCTGAAATTCTATAATTAATACTATTTTTACAAATAAAAAAAATATAATCAAATGGAAGCTTGATATTTCTTTTAAGTATGTCTATGATTATTAAACATCGACTTAATTATTTCAATTTCTTTCTGAAAAATTAAATCTGTATTTTAAAACTATTTATATTTTATCTCTAAGAAGTTCCATATATTGTGGTATATATCAAATATTTTAAAGTCTATATAAGGTAGACTTCATTCTGATGATCTATTGATTGTCTTATGATATATACACAAATAGTATCTTTTAACAATTATTCATCATCTAAAACCTAAATTAAAACATTCTTTTTGTGTATTTTAATTGATTAAATTTACTCTGGGATTAATTTATAACTTATATAATTAATCACAATTTATTAACACTTTCAATTTTAAATATTTAATCAATGAAATGTATTATTGAATTTGCCTATGGGATTTCCACTAAAGAATCATCTATAGA